TACAGGGTTCTTTGCATCATGAAAGGCTCTTCATATTAATGGAGAATGCGCTGTAGATGGTTCTATTTAGGACCTTTTTGAAAAGCGAACCTTTGCATGATACAAAGAACCCTTCAATCGTGCAAAGGGTTCTTTGAGTGTTTATGGTTCTTCTTGACTAAGCAACCCTTGAAGAACCATCTTTTTTAAGAGCATATAGTTACTATATTTTACATTTACTGTTCTTTATTTCATTATTCTACTTTTTTTGTATTGTTTCCATGGGTTGGACTAGAACCACTAAACTTTGCAGGATTGTGGAGGTTATACAAGAACAGTGCACTTTGGTACCGATCACACTTATGCTTTTCGCAGTGTTCGTACAAATGTGATTTTTTTTCCCATAGGAAATGGGTGACGCAATACTGAGGAAACTACCACAGATGATGTGACATCCTTCACACTGCCTCTTACAAACATTATATATATATATATATATATATATATAATGTATATATGATGAGATGGAGTGTGTTATCGTGAAATAACATCACGGCCGTAGATCATCACAGCCATAATGTTATTCGTGATAACACATGGCCTTGAGTGTTCTATTGCTTTTATACAACAGTTAAACAAATAAAGTGAGAAATAAATCAATCGTGCTGTGAACGCGGCGTTTAATATGTTTAATGTTAGCAATTCCTTCTGCCAAATTATAGTCCCTTAACAAGCAGCTTGTTGCCACGTCAGAGCAACGAACTCCATTCACTCGCTGCACAGCCTGCTGTAAGGCCTCGCCTTTTAAAGTACGGACTGAGCCCTGGAACTGCCGCAATATCAAGTTTAGCTCAGTTTTGTCAGTTTTTGCCAGATCAATATTAATGTTGTTTTGTTCCAGCCAGTAGTTTAGTTTGGCGAATGGTGTTGGTTTCATTTCTGGCTGATTCCAGGTTGTTTAGCTGTTATTCTGTCACAGCTGCCGACTGAAAAGCTGCTCAGTGGTGACGACAGTTTCGGTATTTAGTCTCGTCTTCAGAGTCAGACCAAATCGGCTGTAGGTCAAACATAATCTTAAAAGTATCCATTTTCTGTTTTGTGGCTTGAGTGTCTCCTACAACTGTCAAAGGTGTCTCAGCGGAGTGATACAGTGTTTGTGAAAAATTGCCATAACAGCACAGTTAGAACACCTCTCAAACAATCAGCTTGCGTTGTATGTATATATATATATATATATATATATATATATATATATATATATATATATATATATATATATATATATATAGTCCATCACAGTGAAAAGGAAATGCACTGATGTAGAGACTTATAAATACAGATGTGATATTCAGCTTTCTGGCACTAACAGTAGCTACCTGGCTTCCTCCTACATTAGTCAACTAGCAGGAAAAAAGCAAACATTTAAAACAGCCCATATAAATCCTATAAATCCACCACAAAGTGCTTTTCAAACATCAACATACCTCATCAAATAGGACTATTGTTGCACCATTATAAGAGGCCAGTAAGCATTTTTACGACATACGATGGTTAGTGTTCCATTTTGGCCCAGGTGCCCCTTTATGATAAAATTACAAGATGATATCACAAATAAATAAATGTGCAGGGTTAATTAAAAACAGTTCAGCCTGTTCTAAACACAATTCTAGTAATAAGTTGAGGAAAAGTGCAGCCATGACCTGTTCCAATAGCAACGTGTTATTGGGCAGCGCTCCTAATTGAACCAGCTCTTGTCCAAAGAGGGCTTCCAAGGACCTTTAGCTAATGCCACCCATTTAAAGGGCAGTCATGGTTAGGAGTTAGCCAGTAGTGATTCTCTCTGGCGAGGGTCACTGTGCAAAACATAGCTGTACTCTAATGGATGACCATAAGCTGCCAGCTTAGTACGAATCCTCAAAAAGGGGTTCATTTGATTATTAGGATCATTGCAAGTATATGTGAAAAGAAAAGCTATAGTCGTATGCAAAAGTTTGGGCACCCCTGGTCAAATTATATTTTATAGTTTTGTTGATTTTCTAAGTGAAACCAACTTAACACATTATGTTAATACTCTACAGGGGACTACAGGAACACACTTCTGTGCATTGTACTGTATAATAATTGTTAATTCTCTGAATTTAACAAAAATGAAAGCAAATTAATTATGTTTTCCTTTTTTTCAAATAATAAGCGAGTAAATAGATACTGTGCACTAAAATTGGGAGAGAAATGTCATAATTAAGGTTCTCTGTATAGGATGTGTACTATTGTCTTTAATCGTTTGTATACAGCTGTGTTATAATAGTTTAAAGATGGCCTCTGTGAAGTAATCTGTAAATAAATCGTACTGAAATTGTTTTATTTAACTATATGTCTTATAAAACACTGAGTAAAGATATGACACTACCTCATTACACAGAGCGCACACATTAGACCTCATATAATCATACTATAATACAATCTATCATCGCTGTCAGACTAAAACCTCATATCTCTGAAATGGCAACTTTACCAAACTTTTTCCAAGTAATTTTTGATCATGTAACATAATGCAAAGAGGTAACAGAAGCTTTCAAATGATGCAAAGAAATTGATAAAAAAGGAGATACAAGGTTTTGCATGACAGCGACCATGTGCACAAGAGCCTGTGATCGCTCCCCAATATTACCATCTACATCTCATTACATGGTAATATCACTTATATGTCAGTTTACTGCACTCTCCTGACTGGGTATTTTGAATCCTTCATCCATCATGCATTACACAAAAATATCATACAACCATTGGGAATCCAGCCCACAGTAAAAAGGAAATGCACTGATGTACAGACTAATAAATACAGATGTGATATTTAGCTTTATAGCACTAGCAATAGCTACCTGGCTTCTTCCTGCATTAGTCAACTAGCAGAAAAACATTTAAAACACAATAAATCCACCTCAAAGTGCTTGTAGTTTTTCAAACGTCATCATACCTCATCAGAGGGGGCTATTGTACCAACACTATAAGAGGCCAGTAAGCATTTTTACAACATATCGCTGCTGTCGGAACAAAACCTTGTGTCTCTATTTTTGTCGTTTTCCAGTTTTTGACATAATTTCAAAATACCTGTTTTCGTTTCCATTGTATCAAAATTTCATGATGAATGGACCGAAAGAAACGGCCCAAAATTACTTCGAAAAAATTCTGGTTCCATTGACTTACATTAAAAGTAAAGTATGTTTTTTTCTTCTCCTGTAAAATTACCATTTTGGAGATATGAGGTTTTGTTCCGACAACAGCGATGGTTATGTTTTCCATTTTGGACCGAGTGCCCCTTTACGATAAAATTACAATATGAAATCCCAAATAAATGAATAAACAACAAGAAAAAAAAGGAGATACGAGGTTTTGCATGACAGCGATCATATGCACAAGAGCCTGTGATCGCTCCCCAGTATTACCATCTACATCTCATAAACATACAGTTTACTGTGCTGTCTCCTGACTGGTTATTTGTCTCTAGAGTCTCGCAGACTTCCCCAAATCTCCCGATAGTAATTCACACAGAATGTGTTGCAGGTTGAGCTAATTATACCTCCTGCTCCGAGGGGCCCGGTACCCTATTAATTAGTTGACTAAACGTTATCTGTAAGTGATCAAGCGCCTCCACTCATTAAGTGGATGGAAGCAGTTTGCAGAACGCCAGCCTACGTGCAGGTGCAAGTAAATATTTATAACTGAATTACAACATCACCGCAGGCTTGTTCCTGTTCTGTCTCTTGCTCTTCCCTGTGCAATAGGGGAACGCCAGATGGTAACAAAGGTAGAATTTACCCGTTTGAGACACATGACTAGCTTTTCCTCGCAAAACTTTCATCTTACTAATAGAAATAGACAAACTGGCCTCACATTTAAACATTACGCATCAGTTTCCTAGACCCAGATTAAGCCTAAACCTAGACTAAGAAGAATTTCCGAATGGAGAGTCACCATTGGAGCTGCAACCAGCTCTAGGTTGCCCTTTATGACATATGATTATTTAGGAACTGTCCATTCAGCATGCATTTCATTTCAAATAAGCTTATACAGATGCATTGAAACTTACATAAAGTAAGTCATTTCTCTACAGACAACCAGTGGGCTTGATGCCAGGTTCGACTTTAATGATGTACTTTGAATAATGAATAAGTGGCTAACAATGAATTGAAAGTAGCAGCAGCTAATTTGCATGATGTCATTTGTATAATAGTAATTGGTGGCTGTTTACAACATTGATAGCAACATTAAGCTTTTTTTTTTCTTAACTGAAATAACATCGGTTGTGAAAAATAAATAAATAAATAACTAAAACAATATGCACTCCACTGGAATAAGAACATGGCATCTTAAGAGGTGGAGTGCCCAAGAGAAACAGCATGGCGTCAGTTGGCCTGCTAATATGGGGCCCAGAGTTTGGCCTGCTGTGGCAGTGGGGGGTTCCATGTGACATTAAAGCTGATCTGGTGACAGTTTCTGTCTGGACCGCAGGCCTTGGCTATGCCCTCTGGCCCGAGGAATTCCCCTACTCCCATAAGAGGGGAGCAGCTCAGGGTTTGGGAGAACCACCTCCCTGTCAAAGAGCGACCCCTTTTGGCTGACAGGCATGTCAGAATGGCCATAAAGGACAGGCCGGTCTAAAATATCTGAACTAGCATGATGTACTCAAGTTAGCCAAGCTTACAGGTTACCATCTAATGCTGACATTGGGCCAGTTCTATAATCCACCTAATGCTGAAATTGGGCCAGTTCCATCTATCCAAATCCCAACCTTGGAACCTCTCGGATTCGTGGAATGTACACCATGATCGCTGGTTATTGTCTTTAGGTCATCTATTAAAGTTTATTTTAAATTCCTCCATGCTTGAAGCATGAGGCACCACACCTTAATAGGTTTGGCCACCAATAAAGGTTTTACCCTCGTCATCAAATTCCAGAATCTTGTGATCAGATCCCTTAAGAATTTCATACAATAGAACTGTGGTAGACCTGTGGTTGCTTACTTATGGCTTCCACGAACGCGTCGAAAAAGCGAAAGGGAAACAGCGGCTCTGGCAGTTCACGGAAAAACATCTTTAGTGCTCCGGTGATGACATGGATGTCCTCCCATTGGCTGTCGCCCAAATTCAGCTCCTCCTCTGGGGATGAAAAAGAAAGAACAGAACAGAAGGAGGGGTTAGGGGAAGAGAATCAAAACATCAGTCTTTTGATGAGGAAATTAGAGAATGCTAATCATTATGTCAGTCTTTTTTTTTGTTTTTTTCTTGCAGTACAACAGCAAACTGTTAATATGTCCCTCGAGACCTCAAACATTGTTCCCTTTGCTTTTCATGTGTAATGAAAACATCTTTGAATGTCATTGAGCAACACTAGGTGCAGAATGCAGTGCTAACACTGTTTAACACTAGCAGCCACACTCCTGACTATGGAGGTACTGCAAAAATTGTGGAAACTCTTTAACTCGTCCATAATATTTAATCATAGTTAAAAATACAATACTTAAGTATGTATTAACAGCTCATATCAGTATATTAGGATGGTTTATGAAGTTTATAACAGCCTTTAAACTAAAGTGTTGGATTGTATTTATAACACTGTTATGAAGCACTGTTCCAAGTAATGTAAAGTGACCAGAGGCCTACACGCTTAAAAAAGTGGTTCTTCAAGGGTTCTTTAGTAAACAAAATGGTTCTATATAGAACCATAAACACTCAAAGAACACTTTGCATCATTAAACGGTTCTTTGCATCATTAAAGCGTTCTTCAGATTGATGGGGAATGTGCTATAGATTGTTCTATATAGAGCTATTTTGAATAGATATTTTTGAATTATATATACCACCAAAAAGGGTTCTTCTATGGTTACATCAGAAACAACAAAAATAACAGAACCCTTTTCAAAAAGGCACATCCTCTATAGCACATCCTCGAACAATCCAAAGAACCTTTTAACGATGCAGAGAACCTTTTAATCATGCAAAGGATTCTTTGAGTGTTCATGGTTCTAAATAGAACCATTTTCTTTACCAAAGGACTCTTAGAAAACATATTTTTTTAGTCTGTAGTTAAGAACATTGTCAGTTTCATAAGAGATTTTTCTTGCATATTTTCCTGTATGTCTACAGTTTGAAGGCATCTTTTGTAGAACTGATATATGGTGTTCTTAATTGGGCCTTCTGAGTTCCATTACTTAGGAATGGTGCCGCATATCAGTGTTATAAATGGACTGACTGTCCACTTTTACTTCATAAAACATCTTATACTGCAAATACATTAGACATGGATGTTCATAACTGCTCACTGTTCAATGCTTAAAATTGGTAAACTGGCAAAATGATCTCGGTGATGGTTACCTTGGTCAACTAGGAAGCGTAGTTTCTGAATGGTGGACAGGTTACCACTCACTCTGTATATACCATCAGCCTCTAGCCCTAAGACAAAGGGTAAAGGTCAGCCTGGCATCTGAAAATGAGTTATAACTATATTAAACATATAATGATGCTTTTGGTCACACTTTACTTGGATGGTCCCTTATAGATGCTATACAGATACTTAAATCATTAACAAACCTTCTGATGATGTTCAGTTGATTATGAAGAACATCATGGTTAAGGTTAGGGTTAGGTGTAGAAGTAGGTTTTGCCTTGAGGTTAAGGTTAGGGCTAGGGTTAGGTTTAGGGTTAGGGTTAGATTTAATAAACTTTTTCACTCTGAACGTAAAGTTGAGTTGCATTTAATGGATATTTAGTTGAATGTTACTTAGATATACCGAGCACTTCCAAAGCATCTACAGTGGACCATCCAAATAAAGTGTTACCAAGCTTTCCAAATTGACATACCTCGTTTTTCCACCTCCTTCACACACAGCTGGACAAATCTGGGCACCGTGGTCCCTTCACGTTGACACAGAGTCAACAAATGACAGCCGAACACGCAATCTGCGAGAAGACGTTCTTTTAATCACAAACTCATTTTCAACAATTATTATTCAGATTTTTTTCTCAGATGTTTCAAAAAGCCTATTTTTCTTCGTCACATATACACTTTCACTTTCCTCAAGTCGAGCGATTTCCTGAAACAATCATCAGACGGTCACAACCCGCAGTCGTGTGACACAGTTATATCAAACTGCGACTGTCGATATGGAGTTACTCACAGTCTATTAACTTCCTCGCCGTTTGGCGTTTGAACTAATATGGGGCCAGCCGAGCTCTCCCTAAGGCTTATGGAACATCAAAGATGGCCTGCTCTCGTTTGAGCACTCGGGAAGGGGGTGGGGGGGGATTGGTGTGGGGTTGGCTGTGCTAAATGCATAAATGACTGCGAGCAAGCCACCTTTGCATACAAATTCCTATTCGCACCACTTCCTGGAGAAATATGTGGAGGGAGGGAACCTTTTTGAAATAAATTACCCTTTAATGGTGTGCTTGCGATATGAAGAGAAGAGGACTAATATTGAGAAGGATGTTCTGCTAACTAGCTTGCCTTGGAGCTCTGCCAGCGCTATCAGTTGGAGGGGCCACCTGCGCTATTTCTTAATCCCAGAGTACTTTTATTTATCCCGTCAATGCTGTCCTCTTTGATCTCGTATTTCCCCCCATAGATACGACATTAAAAGGGCCCTGTTAGACACCAGAGGAAATTACAAATATCACCACTTCATCTAGGAATTTCAACCACGCTGAAGAAATCCTTTAAATCCTCGCTGCGCAGCACAGTGCATTAGTTACAGGCTCAAGCAGAGGTGTGTGCGCTTGCTTGCTTGGGTTGGTAAATTGATTTGTTCTGGGAAAAGAAGGTCTTTATTGTGAAAATACCTAGAAAAAATCAATTAACTAATAGCCGACATTCTTGTTATCCACGTTTTCATTGACGATTACTGTAGCGGCTTCTGCCCGACATATTCTGCTGTATTCAGTGGGATGTTTCGGTTTGTAAGTTACATTTAGAGTTTTGTTCCTTGCTGTTCTCACATAGTAGAACAGTGTTGATACATTTACAGTCTATGCTCTGGTCATTGGGCCTCAGGTACCAACCATTCTTAGGAAGAAATTTCTTTTTAAAACCCATTTACAAAACCTTATATCTCCAAAACTTGGCATACTTTACTTTTAATGTAAGTCAATGGAACCAGACTTTTTTCCAAGACATTCTGGGTCAATTCTTTTGGTCTATTCATCATGGAATTTACATACAATGTAAAGAGCAACAGGCACTTTCAAATTATGTCAAAAACCAAAAAAGGAAAAATTGGGGATACAAGGTTTTGTTCCGACAGCAGTGATATATAATAAGACGCTTATTATATTATAAGATATTATTGAATGAGGCCCATTGTTCCAGGTTTCTAGACAGTACAGCATTACCTTTAATGAGGCCTTTCTCCTGTAATGTTTTCATGGAGGGCCGTCTGGAGATGAACTTCTTCAGCCTGTTCTTCACGCCATTCTTATCTGCACTGTCTGAGGCACTGTAGTTTAGCTTGAACACTGTGCAGACCACAGGAAAGAAAGGATGCCAGGTTTTTCAGTTGTCATCTTCAAAACCTCCCCTAACTTCATGGCAAAAGTTATTTCTGTTTTTATCATGAAAATGTCTGACAAAATGAATAGAGCCACTTCAGATCAATGTCCACATTTAATAAAAATGGCTCTGCTTGTTAGTCTTTTAAATGACTGCAATGAATTTTGTTGTTTAGTATCAATGGACAACATGGCAACAACACAAACTTTGAAAACTATCCCAACATTGTAATGATCTTGGGACAGATTTTAGGATCCTGTGGCTCCATTAAGAAAATGTATGGAAAATATAACGTGATGAAAATACAGTTTAGGGCTTGATTAAGCCTGGCAATAAAACATGCTATATCTTTGGATTACCAGTATTACAGATTTTTTTTTTTATTCTGTCATTAAATATCCAATTTCAGTACAGAAACAGAAATGCTGCAATTGCACCAACGATTCAAAACCATTTTTTTTTTCTTTTGAAGGTACGCGCTCCACGCATATGCAAGGTACAACTCCATGCACTGGTTAATTTCCCAGTGGGCCACAATATGCCACTCCAAGTGTGCCATAACTATGTTAAATTAGTGCCACATTGAGTCCACAGAAAGCCATAATAGATGATGTGGCTTCAAATTTACACAAAGGAAATCAGTCACACTACTAGCTTAGTCTTTTTTCACCTTTGATCTTTCAGCTTGAAAGCAGCCAGGTTGTGAAGAGGTAGTGAACTGATAAAATATGCTTTTGAAAGTTTTATTTTATTAAATCTATATGAGTCGAGTCTAAAAATGAACTTGAACTTGGCATTTACCAACACTCTCACTGCATCATATTCCGTTGTAATAGAGCAGCACTCTGCTACATGATGCTATGCAATGCTGTAGTCTACAACGCATTCCAGTGTGCACTGGCTTTTAGTATCTATGAGCCAATATGCGTGTCCGAACATCTACGACTGCTGATTGTCTAAAATTACATTCTGCAATCGGGTACAGTAAGAAAACACACTCATTTTCAGCACCTCATACTCATTTCTGGGTCCACTCATTTTTGGTTTATAAGAAGGTATCGAAAAAAGTGATATTCAAGAATCGAAATCAAGGTATCGATATTGAGAATTTTGAATGATATCAAGCCCTAGTCTTGGTTGAAACCGGGTGCACTTTATCTTCTATCTTCTGCAATGATGTTCTCGTTTCTTAAACTGGTGCTGAATGAAATGTAACTGTTGAGAACTCATCAACAAGAAAAGCACTTCATATTACATGTAGATGCATTCGAGGTCCCAGGTCAAGTCTTTATGTACCTCATACTGTGCAGCCAAATACACTTTGGTGTTCCTTCCCAGTATTCTGGTATATAGATATTCAGAAATGTTGTCGCTGATACCAGTAACAGTTTTAAGAAGCTAAAAATTCTATTTGATAACATCAGAGGATATAATTTGATATGGTTAAACAGATAAAAATAAACAGACTACAGTAATTTTAGTTAAACAGTGTTTTACTGACTGGTACAATTGTCAGTTCTGTCAAAAATCAACGATAAATTTTCATATACGATTGTCAGTTCTCAGTTTTGCTCAGTCTTCATATTTCATAAACAGTTGAAATGTCTTAAATATTATACACCATATGGCCAAAGGTTTGAACACAACCCTTCTAATTAGTGAATTCAGCTATTTTAAGGTAGATCTGTGGCTGGCAAGTATGTTAGAGTGTGCACACACTTATGTATAATCTCCATAAAAAAGCGTTGACCAATATAATGGTAACAGCATTGGGCTCTGGAGCAGTGGAACTGCATTCTCCACCAATATCTTTGGGATGAGTTGGAGTGATCCAGAACTGATCATCCAACATCAGTACCTGAGCTCACTAATGTTCTTGTGGCTGAATGCAGTCAAATCCTCAGCGACATCTAATAGGAAGCCTTCTCAGAAAAGTAGAGGGTGTTACTGTAGCAAAGCGGGACAGACTCCCTATTAATACTCTTCATTTCAGAAGAAATGTTGGATGAGCAGGTGTCTACAAACTTATAGACATAGAATATTGGGTCCCACCTTTTATTAAGTGTCTCTAATAACTGTGTAGTTACACATGGATAACATATGCAACAACACTGTAACTACTGATGATTTAGTCAAAGTTATGGATGGATTACAGAAGTACAGCCTATGTAATTACATGTGTATCAACTTCAGTTTTGCCTCTTGTAATTACACAAGCTTATCTTTTATACAGGAACTTTCCTGTAGTGTATTGTTAAAGTTACCCTTTATAATAAGTGGACAGTTCCTGTGTAGTTGTTATGTAGGTACTGTGTAATAATGCAGTGGTAATATAGACACTGCTTTGGGTTTAATGCAACATATTTAATTAATGTCATAAAAGTTACATTTTAAGATAAGGGGTCATCTGCTGTACTGTCACATATACATACAGAATGGTTTAAAGCTGTAACTGATTATGATATCACAGCACTAGCAGCATAATTGCTGGCTAAATGTTAGGAAAGCAGGCAGATACAATGTAAGTAGTGATATAATGTAAGTTATTACATCCTTTTACTGCTGGAAGAAAAAAAAAAAACTTCTGAAAAAAAAAACAAAAACTGCTGTTCCAGCCTGATTATAATTGTAATTACATTTGTTATTACCTTTGTGTAATTACATGAGAGAGAATAGGCTTTTACAACTATTAAGATACACTTGTGTAATTACATGAGGCAAAACTGAAGTTGATACCTGTGTGTAATTACATAAGGTGTACTTCTGTAATCCATCTATAACAGTGACTAAATCATTAGTAGTTACATTGTTGTTGCATATGTAGTTCACATGTAACTACATGGTTATTAGAGACAATATAAAGTGGGATCGAATATTGAACTCAGCTTTCTTCGTTGTTTCTGTTAATTATTTTTCATATGCAATATCATCCTTCAATTATCAGCAAAGCTTTCACGAATGCAAATAAATCTGTGGAACTTTGGTTTTAAAGGCCAACTGATACATCATTCGGGCCCCAGCTGGAATACAGCAAAAATGTTGACGCCTGCATTCCAACTCTTGATATTTGTGTGATTTGCGCATTTCCTCTTTGTGTTGTGCGCATCACTCACTGATAGAACGTCTGTTCTCAGGCTTTGGCTCTTTGGCTTTGATTTTTGTTGAGTCAGAGGCTTGTCTGGTCAGACACTCCGTACTGTTGGACCTCACTATGGTGGCTTTCCCTCCTCCAGGCCTTGCGTCTCCACTAGACTGTTGAAAGTAAAAGCAAGTGTGATCACTCATCATTTACTCATCAATGTAGTTCACCCCCTCACTCACAAATTCACTCAGCCTCCTTTTGTTGGTGGAGTTTTGGCCTTTTATGCTCAGCTCTGACCAGTTTTGCTGTGTTTTCTCACTGAGATTAGGATCTGTGTGGGGGGAACAGTTTCATCAGAGAATAAAATAGAACTCTCGCTGAACTCCACCCGAGCTTATTTTTGCATGTCAACGTTTCGGTCAGACTGTTCTCAAGACTTGCCGTCAAAATCACACAAATACCACTGTCCTGTTTGGTAACAGTGAGTCCCTTGAGGAGCCTGTACTGTATTTCAGAGACCTGTAAACTTGTCTGGTAACACTTTACTGTAGGGCAGTGTTATTAAGGCTACATGACACCTACACATGTCCTTCATAGCAACTGGCATAGACTTACATAAACGTTTATAAAGGCTGATTCAAATAGGTGTCATTTGTCAATAAGGACAATGTAGCCTCTCTGGTTGAGCTGCCAGCGAGCAATGAGGTGTATCAAATGAACGGCCACACTAAAACAATAGCATTTAAACAAAATAAAAACATAATTATAAAATATCTTTTATAGATATTTACTTGCTTGTTCTCCAGTGAAGAATCCAGTTCGCTTATGGTTTTGTAAATCATACATATTTCCATAGAAATATATTCCACCAACATTATTGAAGGAATAAATAAATAGAGTCCTCCAATACAGGCTGAGAAAGCATGTGTGGTTACTGTGTAAAGTGTTTGAACAAAGACAATGTGAGAAGCATGAAAGAGCATCAACTGTAAAAGAGAAAAAACACTTGAATTGTTTGCGCTGGTCAGAAAATTGATTTTAAATGCCAAAAAATTGAATCTCGACATATAAACGAACCTCACACGCATCCTACTCGCACTGTAAGATGTCATTTTCCTTGATTTATACACCTTTGTAGAGCATGAGTAGCTCAGGCAGCGTTTTATTTGCCAAATCATTCTTAAAAATACAAAGCCTTTCTGGCGACATCCGGTATAAATAAAAGCAATGTGTGGCCACGCCGTATTAACGCATGGGAATGAGATCCTAATGTGTGGCCACAACTTAGTAAGGCATGGTAACAAGATAATTCAGTTGTGGCCATGGCGTGGGAACAAGATCATGCCTTATTAAGTTGTAGTCAAAAATTGTCATTCCCACACCTTACTGTCATGGCCATGCATTAGGATCTCGCTACTACGCCTTACTAAGTCATGGCCACGACTTAATTATGTCATTCCCACACCTTACTAAGCTATGGCCACTCATTAGGACCTCGTTCCTATGCCTTACTAAGTCATGGTCACGCATGTGGATCTCATTCCTACGCCTTACTAAGTCATGGCCACGACTTAATTATGTTATTCCCACGCCTTACTAAGTTGTGGCCATGCATTATTTCCATTTATTTGGGATGGCACCAGCAGGGTTTCGTATAAACGAATAGTTTGGTGAAATATCTTCTACTTAGTTTATTTATTTCTACTGAGTTGTGGATGAGGACGGCCCGGTGGCGCAGTGGGTAGCGCTGTCGCCTCACAGCAAGAATGGCCTAGGTTCGATTCCCGGCCGGGTGACCAGGGTCATTTCTGTGTGGAGTTTGCAGGTTCTCCCCGTGTCCGCGTGGGTTTCCTCCGGGTACTCCGGTTTCCTCCCACAGTCCAAAAACATGCAGTCAGGCCGATTGGACATGCTGAAATTGCCCCTAGGTGTGAGTGTGTGTGTGATTGTGTATGTCTGTCTGTCTGCCCTGTGATGGACTGGCGACCTGTCCAGGGTGTATCCTGCCTTCCGCCCAACGACAGCTGGGATAGGCTCCAGCACCCCACTGTGACCCAGAAGGGTAAGTGGTTTAGATGATGTATGTATGTAGTTGTAGATGATCAGCCAAGACACATTTGGTGCCCAAATTTTGCCTCTTTAGTTCAGAACTGGAGATGCTTATTTTGCTAACACTAGAAGTCAATAGTCACCCAAATCTTTTTGGCAAATACATCCCTAAAACGTCTCTTAACCCACTCGAACTGCATCCAGCTCTTTATTAATAGTGCACAGATTCGTCGATGGGGTTTAGGACACAGCATTGAGCACAACATCTGTCGTCTAAAATGGCTGCCCCTAGTGTTCTGCTACACAGTGGAGTTTTGCTCAGTTTTATAGCTCACAGCAAGTCATACTTATTTGACTGAATGTGCACGACCTTACTGAAGACCTGGACGTGGTTTGAGTGGGTTAAGAGAAGTTTTGGAGATGTATTTACGGAAAAGATTTGGGTGACTGTTGACTTCTAGAATTTGTTGACAGCGTTAGCTTCGTAGCTCCGCTGCTAAGCAAAGGAAAATGTAGACACCAAACACGCCTCGACTGGTTTAAGTGGAAAACGTAAAACAAATTTTCTCACATAACTATTTCATTAGTTCACAAAAATCTCTGTCGAATCAAATGAAGACAGTGAATCATGAGTTGAAATGATTCAATGTCCGCCCAAACGTTCACAGCCTTACTCCAAGTTTCACTTGGGCTCACTTACTCATTCGATAATTGAATATAAAGCGAGATGATTTATACATGTATAATGGCACATACAGTCAAATTCCAGCAGTTTCTATAATGAAATGACTCACTGATTTGTCCACTGCTCTTTTGATGGCGTCATGCCATTTGCTGATTGTGGCGTAGTCATCTGACTGCAGGAGGAACTCGTCTCCGGACCTGGTTGTTATCTGTGGACAGTAAAAATCGGGTGTTAAATTAATGATTACATAGTTAAAGAAAGCAGTGCATCCTGCAGCATATCATTGGAGTATTACGTGCTGCTGTGGTTTTCAGTGTCTTTTCTAAAGTTTCAGTTCTAGAGACGTTCGTTAAGCCAGACAGTAACGCTTACTGGCTGCATACAGATGCATTTCTAACATATCACTTCATCTGCACCATGACGTCATGGTAAATAAGGCAAAGAAAAAGATGCATAACCAAGAAGCGGATGAGAGATATGAATAGCCTCTCTGGGGGAAAATCACAGTTAGCATGATACCTGACTAAATGCTGCACTTGTTTTCGCGGAGTGACGTAAGTGTACATGGCACCGTCACACGGCATAAGTGCAAATTCTCGCCAAGCATCGCCGCGAAGGTCAGTGTTGTCAAGTACCGCTGGGAAAGTCTGATGCTAGCTATTGAACATGGCACTTTTTTGTGCAAACCAGAATCATTTTAACATGGCTAGTGTCTAAAAATACCAGACGGTATGAAGTTCTCATCCTCTTCTTCTTCTTCTTCTTCTTCTAGTCACTCTGCATAGACGTCCGAAGTTTCTTGCCCATTTGAAAGATGCTTCTCTGACTTTGAGAGAGGATGGCAGGGGGGAGTGGAGCAGTCTCTTTGGGGGTAGTGAGGATATACAGGGAATGGTTCGGGGCACAAAACCTGTCAGAATGGGTTTGCGATCCCTCTGTTCTCGCATGTAGAACATCTGAGCGAGCTTGTTTGTTCTGAAGCTTTGTCGTTCCTTGAGGCGGCGCAATAGTTTGTGCAACTGCGGACTTGTTGGGACGCCTGGTTGGAGATTTTACTGCAAAAAAGGATGTTGTGGTCAAAGTGAAAACATCTTGATTGTAGGAAGTATTAATATTATTTCTTACTATGTGAATTTTGAAAGATTATTCAACTGATTTCTAGACATTTGAGCTTGAGTTACAATATCGAGGCATATTTTTTTATGTTCTGGTAGATAATTGTCTCTATTTCAAGATAACACAATTTCACCTGATAAGATTGCTTATGAAACATAACATTTTTGTAGGTTGAATAACGTTATGTTAATCTTTTAATAGACTCAAAATATACTACAAAATATTAAATGCATTCCATATATTCAAGATAGTTTCACTTGCCTAAATATCATTTTTTGAGTGGATAAAATGGCATATCAGCATTACTAAACCATGCTTTAACAAAACCATAAACATTTAATTGTACTTCAATGTATATTTTAATGTTATTGTAAATAAAAATGGTAGATTTCATCATCTATAATATAATTCTGAACCAGGTATTGTATTACATGTAATACAATATGTCTTATGCAAGTGTTCAAACACCTCTGGTCAAATTACATGTTTTGTTGATTTTTTTTTTGCTGATTTTAATGCACAATTTGTATTTATATACTGGTTTTAACATATTGGAAAGAATAAAATATGAAATATTAAAGGTGCCAAAACTTTTGCACGGGCCAGATTTTATGTTTTATTTTTTTCCTAGTATGTTAAATTCAGCAAATAAATAATTGTTCATTAAAAATGTACAGAACTGTTCTCTGCAGAAGTGTGTTAATTCATTTTTACCTAGAAAATCAACAAAACATGACATTCAGTAAACTAAACATTTGCATGTTATGTTATGTAAGGAACCTAAAAACGATCAAAGTTGCTCTAATTGACATTAGTTTTCATTCAACGTTATAACTGTGTAAATATTCATTTTTCCAATGCTTGGATTTTAATTCCTTCTGATGCAACTGTACTGATCAAAAAAGAAAAAAAAAATATATAAAACAGATCGTTCTGGTCCTGAAATCTGATTGGCTGAGCCGTGTTTGAAGTCGTTGTAAAATACTCAGTATAAGCACACCTATGACCACCTCACGACAACTGAACTCTTTATCACTGTACCCCATCACAAAAAGTCCCTGTGCTGTTAATCTGTTGAATAATCTTTGACTGTAATGCTGCTCACATGGACCACCGATTGTACTGTAGCATCGTCGTGGTCCCCATGGGACAAACACAAGGCCTGCAGGCCATGTCAGGTCGGGGCACAATCTTATCCAGGCCTGCAAAATGATTTTAATTTTCTATTGAAATTAGCCCATTTCACAATGCGCTGCACTACAGTCCCCAGCATGCACTGGAACGTAATGCACACTCTGACCCTTCTCTCCTAACAAAAGTGGTTACACCACAAAAGAAAAGATGTAGTTCAAGCAAATAGGTGAATAAGATGGTCAGTTAGGGTTGTGCAAAATGTTTATTAAATAAAAAAAAAAAATAATAAAAAAACTTTTTGTTTCTCTGGTCCACTGATTTGTTGATTTTTTTTTTCATATGACCCTTTTAGTGAGTTTGGCACCCCTGGCGTAGACTAAGAAAGAGGGGAAGGCAAGCCTTCGCTGTGAGAAGTGCTCTTTATTAAACACTCTCACAGAAAGGCACATACCGAGCACTGAAACTGTGGGGAGGTCACCATTAGCCACAGGCTTTACCCTCACACACAAAACCACACGTCAGCCCACTCCCTGACACAGAATAACACAAGTAACACATACACGTATCTCACACTTACAAAAACCACCATTAATCGACATAAAATGTCCCTTTTAGGTGGGTGTGCATCTACCATGAGCCTTTGCATGTAGCTGCCCATGTGGCCACGCCTCCCGAACTTCTTGGAGCCAGTGCCAGCTGGTAGCATGTCGCAACAGTACTGATGAGGTAAGAACCTGTTTTTGTTTAAACTGAGAGGCTGATAACTTATTTTCTTAACTAGAACTAGGCTGGTTAGCTAGATAACAGGCTAAAAGATGGTAAACATGCTAAACAACTCCATCATTAATATCACAGACTTGAATTAAAGTACTTATAATATGATTCACTGTAAAATGGCAATAAAAAGGATAAAGAATGGCTGACATGCTTCAAATGTTCGTGTTTCAGTCAGAGGTAGTATGAAATCCAGGATCCAGTATCTAAACTCCTATGTAGTGCACTATGTAGGGAGCAGGGAGCTGGGTGAGATTCATCCCAGTGTGGGAAGATCGGTGCCGCTAGCTTGGTGCTAAATAATACCAGAAATCATATTAAGGTGCCAGTGGAAATTAGCCTTGTCGTCATGGTGGTAATGTGGTGACCAAAGAGTAGGCCTACTTACAAAGTGAAGGTCTTTGCATTAAACAGTGCTGTGTTATGATATGTTCAGTATAATATGAGAAAAAGTCAAAAAATTTATGAAATGACTGCAATATACAATGATGGGCAACCGGACATTCTTCCTTCTTCTCATTCAGCAGTCCATGGTTGCTTGGCAACAATACCGTACTTTAAAGGAACTAAATTTCTTCGTCGAATAATAATAAATTATGTTTTGAAAAATTGTGTATTTTATCATATTTTATGTTGACCGCTGTTTTTATAAAAGCATGCGTTACTGTGATTTTACCACGGGGCAGAGGGTTTTACTCTGCTTCACGTCATGCCTAAGAACACCCTTACCCGTGATACATTTGCAGTAATGCAAGGCCTCTCGTGGCTTTTATTGCTTAAATGAATGTTTTTCCACTGGTCAGAAGTCAATTTTAAATGCTATGAACTAAATGAAGTGCAATTTAATGACAAAATAAACAAATGCGTTTCACATACGACTTACGTTGTTTGACAAGACTTCATCGTCTTTACACTGCACGCTTGACTCAGGCAGCATTCCCAAGCTAACCATACATACAAATGATGGACGGAACGCAGAGCGGGAGATTTGCTGCCCATTGCCCAGGCACTGGCGATGCATGAACTAAGTAACAGCTGGCTATTTTTGGTTTCACTTCATTTGACAAGCCCTCACTACATACGTGGATGTTTTAGAGTAGCTGATAATATTATAGCTAATAATCACAAAATGTTGATACACAGAGAAGGTAGTGAAGATGGCTGCTTAGCTAAGCAGTGCTGCACAACTGCACCACTCACCTGCCAGTCACTCACTTCATTGAAGAATGAAGAAAGAGAAGCAGCAGAACCCAAACAAAGCTCTTTATTTGGAAAAATACATGATGCATAGGCTACTGAACTCACACAATATATAATAACTGACCTGCCTGAACAGCTAAACAGTGCCCCCCCCACCCCCACCCCCCACACATATGCAGAGCAGCAGAGGAGGTGGTGCCACAATATCATCACTGTAAGCGATGCTATTCAATGCTATTCAAATCATAGGCCCTTCTTCTCGTCGACCACTTTTGAATCACTGAATCAAATTGACGAATCTCTGTTTGGTGAATTGATTTGCTTTTAATTTACAAACAATTGCTTTTTGAATTGAATCGAAAATTACGAATCGAATGAAATTGCAGGCAGCTCAAAAATTCCCACACCGGCAGTGTTAGCATTTTTGTGCGAACTCATGCTTTAAGAAATTAAATGTTAAACTTAAATGGATTAAATGGATATTTGGTTCATCTGCTGTAAAATCTTCCCTCTTGAGTTTAAAGGAGAAGGCGAGTTCTTCAAACATCAAAGCACGCCATTTTCTTTCGGTGATATCAGGCAGATTATCTGAGAACAAAAAAAATTAAGCAGTCGCTTCACACAAAAGGAGCCAATAGGTTTTAAAGTGACGTTAATCTCTTACAAATGTACACAGCCGTATTTAGCTTTATCCTACGGCCAGTAATCTCAATCCCCAAAGCTTTTTTGCAATCTGCCATATTTTCCTGTTTTGGCCTTTATTAAGGCTCGGCAGTGGAGAAGTCCTTGTGGCTGTCACTGGACATTTGCAATTTAAAAGGAAATGGGACAACACAGCTTTGAGCTTGCTGAGCTTAAACAGTTAATGGGTTTCAGGTTTTTACCGGTTTTCTATTGGTTAAAAGTGTTTGGTAATGAAATTCAGCTTCCAGAACACCATCAATAGATCAATAACCCTTATAGGTCTCAATCAAGTTAGCCTTT